CACTGCTCCCGTTCTCCATTCACGATTTCACATGATTTCTCGTGCGTCTACATTTTGGAGCCGCTGCGCTGCATCGACGTCTATTTCTGGACTGTGCGCCCGCTGCAGTGAGCAGCCTCTGCAGCAGCCCTGACCAGCTGCGCCTCAGAACGCCACATTTCTTTCCCACCTACAGTGGCGGAAAGCGTTTGGCTTCGTGACTATGAACACTTCTGCTTTTAGCACATTGCTCCTCCAGGGTTTAGTTTGTGGAAGTGTCCTCACTGCACAGAAAAATCCCCTGACTGTGAAAGTGGGCATTTCAGCCATGCTCCTGATTTTGCATTAACCAATCAGAGCAGAGACTGCAGTGTGGAGCATGAGGGTGATGATCGGACGAGGTGGGCCAGGCTTTCTCTCCGTGTGTGATAGTCATCCCAGTCTTATTAAGGGCTGCTGTTGCGTCCTGCCTCTCGTTCCTCCCTCGTTTTCTCTCTCATTCATTCATCCCTACCTCTCTCTCTCACGCTCGCTCTCTGCCTAACCTTCTGCTGTTCCTGCTACAGAAAGAGACGCGCAACATCGCACTGCACTGCTGGAAAGGCCCCGGGCTCACAGCCACTTCTGCTATTTTCTTTCTCTTACTTTAGTCGCTTTCTCTGCGTCTCTTCCGGACACACACACACACTTTGCCAGATGAAAATGTCAGAGGAGGAAGAGACTCTGTCGAACGGGTAAGATGCGCTCATGTGACGTGTTTCTCGTTCAGTCGTGAGAGTGCGAGATGCTCTGCGAATGTCACTTTTCCTGCCGTGTTTCCATTCTCGTGTGATGTTTGTGTTTTCCACTCCTGTTTCTCAGGCATGTGGACAAACTCGCTCGATTTATCGTCGGAGCTGCTCGCTTCTTTTGTTTCCCGGCTGCCGTAACAAGGCCTTTGAACATGTTATACCAGCCTGTCCGATGTGCTGAAAGCTCTCTGACACACAGTTGATAAAACTAATGCTTTGTCACTCCAGGAAAGGGTGTGTGCGTGGTTGTGTGCGTGGTTGTGTGCACTTATTGGTTTGCATCAGCACATGCAGTGGTGTGTGAGTGTGTGTGTGTGTGTGTGTGTCTGCCTGATAATGATCATCATTGTGTAATTTGCTCTCTGGAGAAATCAACGCAGAATTTGAGACTTGCTGACTTGAACCTAATTCAATTATTTGGACGATGCGTGGTATGCACAGCCTGAACCTCGCACACTCTCCTCTTTCTGCCTTTTCTTTCCTTCACACAGTCCATTTCCTTTATTGTTCTTCTTCTCAGATTGCGTTTAAGGTGCCAAAATCTCGTTTTCCAGTCAGCCGCTACCAGTTGAGTCGGTTTCCACCTATAAGGAAACGATATATCCACTGATGCTTTGCTGTCCTCAGCTTTGCAGACACAGGTTTCAGCCTTTATCTAAAAAATCTGAACAACAGGAATCCAGTAACACAAAAAATGTGGTTTATTATTAAAATCAGTCCTCTTTTATGTAACATGCACACAAACCTGCTGCGTAAGGCGTCTGTTTAATACTGCTGACACACTGCTGACACACTGCAGTTTTTAATGATTCCTTATCTACCTCAGTATCATTGTGGCCTGAGTCTAACAGGTAATTTGACTCCACTAGTTTAAGTTTAAGTTTAAAACTTCCTTTGTT